CACCAGGCCCTCCTTCTCTTCCCATACTCAGCAATCTCCACCAGCTAAAGAAGCCACTCCACCACCACTTTCATCGTATTTCCCAAAACTATGGTCAAATCTTTTCTCTCTAGTTCAGCTCTCGTTTGGTAGTGGCGTTTCGTCACCCTCTGCAGTTCAAGAATGCTTCATGAGAAACGACATCATTCTGGCCAACCGCCCCTAGTTCCTAACCGGAAAGCACGTCGACTGCAACTATACCACTGTCTCCTCTGCAACGTACGGCGAACACTAGAGCAACCTCCGCCGCATCCTGGCACTTGACATCCTCTCGACGCGTCATCTCAACTACTTCATGGAAATGCGAAGGGACGAGATGAAGCTATTGGTACAAAAGCTTGCTCATGATTCTGTGATGAGCATAAGCCCAAAGCTCAAGAGGAGAGCCTAATCCCAAAAGACTAGCTTATTAGGAGTGAAAGTCCATTGAATTTATAAACCCCACAATACTTGTGAAATTTTCCAATATAGGACTCATAACAGAACACCTCCCTTGAGAGCCAACGTCCCCGGTAGCTCCACTCTACAGCACTTCACTCAGTCTTCTTACTGGTCAGAACCCTCCGCAGGTAGTCCTTTCTAGTTCGTCGACTCTCAATGAAAACACCAAATTGTTATAGATTAACTCTATCACAATGCAAATGAGTATAATCTGGATATTATTGATATATCAATGAACTAGTCATCCACAGTGTATGAATAACTATATAAACCAAATTACAATGAAGAAAACGGAAATCACAGGGAAATGAAGAAAACACAGAGAAATGTTAGGGAGAAGCAGAGATAACCACGAAGGTCCAGAGAGGAGTCAGAATGCAGAGAGAGAGGATTTTCACCAAAATTCTACACACCCCTGCTCCACTCCTAACGGTTTTTTATTCCCTCAGCTTCCATGATACACGTCTGACATTTGTACTTCTTCTTGGACCACCTCCTATCCCATTGGCTGTATGGACTTAGGTTTCATCTTTGGATTGGGTTGATTTCTTCCCTTGATGGACCATGACAGAAAATTTCACACAAAAACCTAAAAAATTATTAAATTTCAAATTAGGATTGTTTCCTAGTTCCTACATTTTAATAAGTCTTCAATGCACTTAACTTGTAAGCATTAATACTTTTTTGCACGAATTTCTTATTCAAGATTTAGTAATTTTTATTATCTTTGTGTGAGATTTTTTCTAGTTTTATAGATAGAAAACGCTAATAAATGTATTTAAACCTAAAAGATATCAATATAATTCACACTTTAATTTTAATCAAATAATACAAAAATTGCTTAATATTAAAAAAAGCGAAGAATTGACTTGTCCCCATAAAGACTTCTCCAGTTTGGGTCTGGAGACCATTTGCTCACTGACTTGATAATGTAAACATTTTTAGGCTATTTTCAAGAATGGATTTAAGAAAATATGGATTATACATATAAATAAAAAAGATCAGTTTAGACAATTATTTAAATAAGTTCACAAAATTATATTATATAAATTTCGCCGCCGATTAGGACTTAGAAATTACATGACAATGTATTAAGTTAAAGATGGTGACATGCACTACTACAAAATGAAAAATACTCGACGGTTATTTTGGATCATATTTGACGGTTAAAAACCGTCAACTATATTGGCGTCATATATTTCAACAGCAAATATTTGACGGTTATTAACCGTCAAATATTTAAATCATACTTGACGGTTACTAGAGAAAAACCGCCAATTATTTTGAGATTATACTTGACAGTTCCAAAAACCGTCAAGTATTTTGTAATACTTGACGGTTCCATAGAGTGACCGTCAAGTATTATAAACATACTTGACGGTTATTTTTGAAAAACCGTCAAGTATTATTTAATACTTGACGGTTTTAAAAGTAACCGTCAAGTATGTTATAATACTTGACGGTTTTAACTAATAACCGTCAAGTATTATTCCTTTTTTTTTAAAAAAATTCGTTCTCCTTTGCCAGCAACCCCCTACAATTTTGAAACCGATAACAAAGGCTCATTCAACAGAATCATGCAGGCCAGCATTCAAACCAATTCAGCCATATACATATATGTTAATGAACCGAAAATAATTTACATTATCATATATATACATGAACCAATGAAAACCAACTGTGATATATTAAAATTCTGGCAAGTACAAAAAGGTGAACCAATTCCAAAATTAGCCAATTGCCAAAGTTGTGCAATGCCTAAAACTAACCAACAGCAAAAAATGAACCAAAACCAAAATTATATTGAAACCAAAGCTAGCTGTACGTACATACACTGTCTTAATGTACACTTCCCTATCTATGTTGTGCCCACTGACAGAATAAGGCCATCGCCAACTCCTCAACGATTTCTTCCATCTGAGCAGATGAATACACTGTGCAATATGTGTCGGCAAAGTACTGTATGCAACCACAAATTATGACTTAAGTTAGATAGAAATGTAAAGTTACAGTAAGTACAATAATTCTTAAATATATAAATTGAACCTTAACAAATGCATATTACCTGCGTGGGAATTGTGTTAGCATTGTGCAGAATTATCTCCTTCATAAATTTCATCACGCAATATCCACAATGGGAGCTCTTGTTGGGCTGACGTGGGTACTGTAAAGAATGGAAAAGGAAATAATATTAGTCAATCATATAAATAAACCATATTTAATAGAATAGTAAATCATGGTAGTGAATACCTTCACTTTCTTCCACGGGAAGGTATCGTCAAATTGGCCATTTTTTACCAGGGGCAGGGTAAGGCCTGATTTGTGCGGTATAGCCACAAAGCCCTGAGAAGACAATAAAATTGAATATTAATGATTGTCAAAAGTTTGATTGAAGCAAGAAATTAAATTAAATTTAAATAATAGAGATAAATATTACTTGTTGAACAATGAAACCATAAATGGTTGATTGGTTGGATCCCCATAAAGAGAATCAAGATACCAAATCCTCGGCTTTGTGGGATTGACCACAATCAGCATCCAGTGTCCCCTAAGTATAAGAAAGACAATTAGAACTATTACAAATTATTTTGAAAATGAAAGAATTTAGGAAAGTTTACCCTTGACAATAAGGCGCCAAAAACAAAGTCTGAGCCCTCGGTGTTGCCCTAGAAATGAAGATATCTAACAAGTCTCTGGATAAGTCTTTCTTCATATTAGGTCCGTGGCCAGCAAAAGTGTGGGGGCTGATAATCTTGAACTTGTCATCAAGGCCACCAGGGGCTATGAAGTTCTTGAAAAGATATCTAAATCAACAAACGAAGATATCAATAGAATAAATGTTCAAGTACTTAAGTATTTAGTTAAGGTTTTAACAAATACCTGATATAAAAGTTACAGGCATTTGTGCTGGCCATTCCATGCGTCAGAATCTCTTTCAATACTTCATTTGTGACATAATCTGACGAGGGTCGACCGTATACCTCTGGCTCAAACTCTAGGGGAATCATGAAATCCTCGCCATGTTCTAATCTAGCCCCAATTGCATATTCCTCAAGACATATTCGGAATCTTGATGATACCACTTGAACGGGCTCAGAGGGCTGCTTCTGTGGTGATGATAATGAGTGATCACCCAATAGGCTCTTCTTCCCCTTAGACTGACAAACAGACTGTTAGTAATTAAAATAGAGTTTATTTTAAATCAGCTGAATTTGTAGACCTATACATATATACCTTTGAAGGATGTCCTAATGTAAGAAGACGGCCAGGCCAAGCGACAAAGCTACCCACTGCTTGAGCCACTATCTCTGCATCTGGGGTGGGTATCGGGAGGGCATAATTCGCATCAATAGCAGTGTTCAACTGCACCCTCACATGATCAGCAGGGAGAGGAACATTATGAATTATGCTCTCCCCTGGTAAATTGAACATGCGGCCCGTTACAATAGTGTGATGTTTAGGGCTATTCGCCATACACTGAACGTCCGCTTCACCCTGATTTGTTTAACATGAGAGACAAGTTAGCTAGATATATAAATTATTGAATGTAATTATATAAACACAAGTATTATACCTCAGGTAGCAAGGGGAATGTGCAGCTGTCTTTGCCACTTGGGCTGAGATTCGGAGCCGGCTGTGGTGCTTGATTCTTGATCAACTGCTCGATTAGGAGCGCTTGCGCTTTAACCTGCTCCTTTAACCAGCGTGTTTCTTCCTTCAGCTCCATGAACTCAGCAGAGGAAGGCGTGCACGATGAAGAGGGCTTTTGTCGGTACCCAAGTAATCTCTCTTGGTGACTCCATAACCGACACCCCTAAGAAGACCAGGATGGTCAGGAGTCCCCAATGCCCTCCTCAATATATCCTGGTCATCCGCAGAATATGCCCCCGCGAAACTTCCTGGGACAAACTCTCCTGTGCAACAAACATTGATATAGTTATTCATACTTAAAGATATTTGACAATAACGTGAAGATTATTTAATTTAGAATAATACTCACCATCCTGTCCACGAACTCCTTAACGCGAGGGCTCACAAGTTGAAACCAATCACTTTGTAGAAAAGACATCACCAATTGTTGCATCAAATGCTTTTCTGTTCAGATACGTATGCATCATAAAGCAGATGTCAGATAACGCATAAAGTATGCTGCAAAACAAAACATAATAAAAATCCATTTGTCTAACAAATCTTTTTATTTAAAGAGAAGCACATGAATGAATCATCAAATTATGAAGCAAGCAAGCAAAACTATGTCCACAAATTCCATTATCAATTATTCCATCCTTTGCCTTGCTTTCTTCCTCATCCTCAAGCTCTTTCTCAGAAAGCGAAGATTCAGAAATATCCCACTGGGCCATCCTTCTCTTCCCATACTCGGCAATCTCCACCAGCTAAAGAAGCCACTCCACCACCACTTTCAACGTACTTCCCAAAACTATGGTCAAATCTTTTCTCTTTGGTTTGGCTCTCGTTTGGTGGTGGTCGTTTCGTCGCCCTTTGCAGTTCAAGAATGCTTCATGAGAAACGACATCGTTCTGGTCAACCGCCCCCAGTTCCTGACCGGAAAGCACGTCTACTACAACTACACCACCGTCTCCTCCGCCCCGTACGGCGAACACTGGCGCAACCTCCGTCGCATCCTGGAGCTTGACGTCCTCTCGACGCGTCGTCTCAACTACTTCATGGACATGCTAAGGGACGAGATGAAGCTACTGGTACAAAAGCTTGCTCATGATTCTCGTAAGGGTTTCACGAAGGTGGAGCTAAGATCTAGGTTTTCTGAGCTGACATTTAACACGATGATGAGAATGATATCTAGGAAGAGATACTGGGGAGATGATAGCAAAGTTGAGGACGTGGAAGAAGCAAGGAAGTTTAGAGAGACGATGAAGGAGTTGTTGATGCTAGGAGGGGCAAATAATCCTGGAGATTTCTTGCCGACACTTAGATGGTTTGATTTGGATAACTTGGAGAAGAAGCTCAAGGGTATTAGCCTCAGATTCGATAGATTTTTGCAGAGAATAGTTGATGAGCACAGAAGTGGGAACACAAGTGGAAATACTCTGATAAATCACCTCTTGACTCTGCAGAAATCAGAACCAGAGTATTATACAGATCAAATAATCAAAGGTCTTGTTTTGGTAAAGAGCTATTGTGTTTTTGCTTTTTGGTTGCGTTGTCATGTCTATTATTCATTTTGCTTTTTAACTAGTTCCACACTTTTGCAAATTATATATCCTAGCGGTTGTTTGATGCAAGAATAAACGAATATATAATGATTGAGTAAAACCAAAGAAAAATGAGAAATGCTTTTAAATGACATGTTTTGCGCTTCTGCAGTATTGTTGAAAATTTTTGTTCCCAGTTAAAATATGTTTGTCGGAAAATTAATCTAAAAATTCCTATAGTCCATATGATTTTTAATTAGGTCTTGTAATTTGTTTCTTTTATTAGATTGTTATGGTATCAATTGACTTTTTTCATAATTAAGGCCTTATAGTTTCCTCCCTTTATATTGTCACATGAAACTACAAAAATCTAATAAAAAAATCATGTGAAACTTTTCATCAAAAAAAAAAAAATCATGTGAAACTATAAGGACTTACATATTAATTTTTCTTATATTTATTGATGTTATACATATATTACCACAAGTAGTTAAATAATGAATAATTCTTTTTATTAAATCAAGTGTTCTTCCTCAAAAAACTCACAAAACTTGACATCGTTTGACATCATATATATAGGCAATGCTTCGCGGGGGAAATGACACATCTGTTGTAACTTTAGAGTGGACAATGTCTAGTTTACTGAATCATCGAGAGATATTAACAAAGGCAAGCCAATAAATAGAGTCACAAATAGGGCAAGAACACTTGATAGATGAACAAGAGGCTTTGAAACTGCCATATCTTCAAAGCATTGTATGTGAGACATTTCGATTGCATCCTGCAGGCCCATTATTGTTACCCCATTTGTCCTCAGATAAGTGCACCATGGGAGATTATAACATCCCACCTGATACTATTGTGCTGATTAATGCTTGGGCCATTCATAGAGATCCTCAATTATGGAGTGATCCTTTATGTTTCAATCCTGAAAGGTTTCAGAAAGAGGGGGAAGCAAATAAGTTGATGCATTTTGGATTAGGAAGACGAGCTTGTCAAGGTTCAGGCTTGGCACAACGCACAATGAGCTGGGCTTTAGGCTTACTGATTCAATGCTTTGAATGGAAACAAGTAATTGAGGAAGAAATTGATATGACAGAAGGAGAATGATTGATTTTGTCAAAAGTTGTTCCTTTAGAAGCTATGTGTAAAGCACGCCAAGAGATCGTTGATAAGTCTCTTACATAGTTGGAACATTTGCAGAATGATGTTGCTATTTGTCGGAACCGTATGGCTCAATTGATAGCAAACATTTTCTCAAGTCTTGACTTAAATAAAAAGTTGCAAGTTTAGCTCTTCGTAAGAATGATGAATGCATGAGTTTTTTCTACTGGATGAAGAATGACAAAATAAAAAAAAGTAATGTTATAACATGCAACCAAAAAAAAAAATTTAACGTTGACATTGATAATATATCTTGACCAACATAATTTCACTCTATGATAGTGTTACTCAAGACAAATGATGAAAATAAGAAGGGTTAATGTGCAATTCACCAAGTATTTAAAGATGGGCAATTGTAAGAAATTTTTTTATTTATTTAAATATCTTACTACCTCCAGTGCTAATTATAAGATTTCATTTGTAGCCTACAAACGAGATCTCATAATTAGGACTAGAGGTAGTATTATCTTATCTAATTAGCTAGAAACTGACAAGAATTTATGTTCATATTATCTACTGCTTGGTTGACTATATATAAAGTATCATTAGTATGCTTGGAGAAAGGGTTAGAATGGGAGAAAGAAGGGAAATATGTAAAGTCAAAAATCGAGAGAGCAATTAGAGAAATCTATTTTTCTCCTTAGGACAAAGTACTTTTTTTTTTGGTTAAGGTTTAATTGGCTGTGTTAATCCAATTTGATGGGCGGCGGGGTGTTTGAAATCTCTCATGATAGTTATAATTATTTTCACGTGAGTTAAAACTTTTTTATATATTTATCTTTTTCTGTGTAAAAGGATCGCCCCCCTCCCCAAAAAAAAAAAAAAAAAGTAACCCAAAAACGGGAACCTGTCACTCTCAAGTAGAGGAACAGAACAGTTGTATTCAGAATGACAAAAGATGGTTTTTGGGGCCCAAACACAGCCTTTTGTTGTTGCTCGGCGTTGTTTTTGTTTTTAAGAACATAAAATTGGACTGGACCTGACGTGGAGGCCCAACTCAGTCACAGTCACAGAGCGGCTTGTACCAAAAATCGGGCGGAGCTTCTCTCTGCTGCAAGGAATGGTGCTCAGCCTTTTTTAATGGAGGGGGAAAAAACAAAAACTAACACCCAACATTCCAACCTCTTAAAGCATTTTCCAAGTAAAAACTATTTTTTAGTGCTACTCAATAATAATTTTTTATACATCTAATATCTTAAAATATTTTTTTAGTAGCATTTAATATTCTAAATTTTTTTTGATTAAGTAGATTTCATTATTCTGAAATATTTTTCACTATCAACTAATGTTCTAAAATAAATCTTTGTGCGTTTAACACCTAAAAATAAATTTTTAGTAACAGTATCATAAAATAATTTTTAGTGTATCCAACTTTCTAAAATTATCAAGAGTACTTGGTATCATAAGTTTAAGCTGATCATTACTATTAAAAAATACTTTAAAAGTATAAAATTCTATCAAAAATTATTTTAAGATATTGAGTGGTTCTTCAAAAAATAGTTAAAAATGATGAAATGTTACTGAAAAAATATTCCATAACACTGAATGCTAATTAAAAGAAAAAAAAACTGAGCACTTTACCTTTTGTACACGAAGCTGCAAAACAAGATAGTCATACAGGGGACATCCCCACCCAACCCCGAAGCCCCCAATATTCTATTTAAACAAAATATTATTTTTTTGACCGGAATATTTAAACAAAATATTACTACCTTCAATCCTAAATGATGCGCATTGAACTCTATGCATACTACCAGGTCAAAAAGAAGAAAGGAAAAAAAAAAAACTCTGCACACATACTACACAATCTTTTAGTACTGAACTCTAAACTTTTTAGCATGCAGATATTAATTATGAGATTTTAAAATTTGAGTGTCATGAAAAATTGAATACTAAAACAACTAAAAATGAGAATTGAAATAATGATAAAAGTTAATAAGTACTAAAAACATAATAATTGAAGATGGGTACTCAAAAATCAAAGAGGACGGTCATTTTCGTCAATTAAAAAAATAAGTTCTAAATAGGGACCTTAGTCTTTAATGAAAAATATAAAATTTATGATCTTTATATCATTATATATACAAAAACTTGAACATGAATTCCAGTTCGCATCAAACTCGAAAGGCTTATACTTTTGATCGTTTTTAAGATTTCACCTTCTCCATGTATTACTGCATGCAGGTTTTCAATCAAGTTGGTTTCATTTCCTAATGGTATAGTTACTCACAAAATTTATTCTAATGTCCAGCATAAAATTTGCTTTTATTAATTTGGATTAAGTTGCATTTATCACCGTGAAGTTTTTTTTTTTCAGGAACACTTAGTATTCTAAATTAATTTGTAGTTGATGTAGCACATTCAAATATCTTTCTAATAACACCCAACATCCTATAATATTTTTCAGTAATTTTTCGTAGATTCAGCACTCTAAAGATTTTTCTATTAGTATTAAATATCTTCAAACTAAAAAATATTTTAAAGGAAAACTTGTATAAAAATATTTTAGTTACTTGGTACTACTAAAAAAATGCTACTTTAGGATGCTGGATTAATCATAAATTAGTTTAAAACATTGAGTTACTAAAAAAATATTTTAAGGTATTAGATACATCTTAACCTTAACCTTGATATGATAATTTTGACTTATAGGTTATGCTTCTTGCTGAAACTGAAATTATGAGCTTCTGTGACTCTAGAATGGGCAACGAAAAATCTTGTTTATTAAATAATGTCTTGTAATCTGACAAGTTTTATGCGTCAATATATTATCAATATTTTGATGGAATTTAGCCACTTTAATTAATTGTTGATTATGCTATAGGTAATATCCACAGAGCAACCAGCTAGGCTATGTGAACTTGACGGTCCTCAAATCTAACGAATTCTTTTAGATTTGGTCCTCAAATTTACACTCATTTTGATTTCAGTCCCATAAGAAATAAAATAATCTAGATTTTTATTAAATTATAAGGATTAATATTTAAGATGAAATAAAACTTGAAAGACCAAAATTTATAATTTGAAATTTGTGGGCCAAAATTAATGAGTATAAATTTAAAGAATCAAAATTATATTAACTATTTTTTAATACAAAATATCATTAGGTACACTTCTTGAACTGAGAATCAAAACAATTTAGATGCAGTTTTTAAGAAATTGATAGATTCAGTGATAGATAAATAAGTGACTGGGCAGACCTCTCGGCGGTCTGCTCGGTCTGATCATTGGCCAGCGACAGATCCACATGCATTGGAACGTAGTGCGGACAAAGGTGACGCATCGTTGTTATATTGCTTATTACTTGTCCGCTGCTTCTTCTTGTTTTTTCCTGAACAAAATGTTCACGTGAATTGAGTTTTGGGACTCACGAAAGTTAAGGCATATTTTATTCTAAAAACATATTTATAGAGAGATTTATAAATCACTCAGTAGTAAAATGATCCTTATATTATCAGCGAAATTTGAATTTATAATCTTATGGGTTATAAATCGACTCCTTATTAATTAGATTATTTCTTATTGAGTACTTATCTACTTCTTAATGTAAGCTAACAGCTGTTTAAATAGTTTGGATGTGAGCGTGTTTGAGTTATTGTTTTAAAAGAGTAGTATATGGGAAGAGTTTTATTTTAATTTAAATAAAAGTAAGAAGAAGAAAGTCAAATGAATTACTTAGATCTCACAAAGTTGATATAATCTTCCTTAAACATTATCAATTTAAAGTCGTAAGAACTGAATTGATTCTTAACTAACAAAGCCAAAACTCCAAGGAACAAGTTAAGGGATTAATTTTGCTCATAAATTTTATTTAATATAAAACATGAGTACATGCATGACCCTCTGCACTACTTTCAGATAAATCCATTGGCAAAATCTACATTCAATAACCCAACGATAACGATAACGAAAACGACATAATTAGAAGAAATAGACAAATTTTGCTTACTCTCAAGTGCCAATCACCACGCCGTCCAGCCATGACAAAAGCTGATGAAGAATTAACAGTATATTTGACCACCCTCGGCATGGGCGAAGGATTAACATGAACTCCCTCAACTTGTAAGTTTTAAATCTAGAGGGGTGTGATTCATTTTATAAATTTCAATTTGAGTTTGTCTTAACATTTAATGTATTTTTTAAATTTTGTTCTTAATTATTTATTCTCTCTCATTTGTCATACTCTCTCTTATAACATTTTTTCACACATTCTCTTTCATCTTTTTTCTCATTTATTACAAGGACATATCTGATAATAGAATATATTTTAAACCTATTTATTGCTTTTAACTAATTGTTTGTTATTCACGAATTAGTTATTTAAAACTTCTAATAAGAATTGGATGGAGTATATTTGACCACACTCTACAATGGCTTTTAATATCCTCACTATTTATTATGAGGGCATATTTAAGAATAAAAATATATTTCCAATCTATTTATTGCTTTAACTAATTGTTTGTTGTTCACGAATTAGTTATTTGAAATTTACAATAAAAATTAGATAAAGTATATTTGACCACCCTCCGCAGTGAGTTTTAATGTCCTCACTCTTTAATATACTTTTTTTTGGGTGTAAATTCAAGGTATTCTCAAGTCCTACCAACGAGTATATTTTTTGGGATTCGAATTTGCATTCTCCTCACTACTAGAGTGAGATTGCTTATTATTTCAACCAATAGCTTATTAGTAATATTTTTATAACATCCCAACTTTTTAAATGTTTCTTTAATTTTATTATTATATAAATTAATAATATTTTAATACCTTACTAATATAAATTGATGTCGTTTTGAATTTTTATAATTTTTTAAGATCTGCATTATAAAGAGTATTAGAGAGTAGCGCATTATAAGCCCTCTGTCCCGCATCTACAATATACCACTGCTACAAATATTTACATGACACTTTATTTTATCTTTATTTAATGATTATTAATCAATATT